TGCGGAAAGGTGTGGGTTTTTTTCTGTTATTGTTCTAATACTTTAATGTCATAGAGACAAGACCATGCTTTTGTATGTTTTCGCTAAATATTTCTTTCTTGTTCCCCTCCCCTATCCTCTTCGCGTGCTTTGCGTGCAGGTTCGTGGACCAATTCTCCCGCAGCATCAACATGGAGTATGCATCCAAGGGGATCGACGTCCAGGTTCAGGTGAGCCTTGTTCATTGAAAGAGCATAGGTCTTCGCGGATAGCATTTAAGGGGATTGAAGTACATTTTCGTGGGCCGATTCTCCCGCAGCATCAACATGGAGTATGCATCCAAGGGGATTGACATGCATGTTCAGGTGAGCATTAGTCATTGCTAGAGCCTATATGAAAAGCGTCATGGAGTATGCCTTCAAGGGCATCGACGTGCAGTTTCAGGTGAGCCCCAGCCATCGTAAGAGCCTATGTGAAGAGCACCATGAATAGCATCCAAGGGGTGTGACGTCCAGATTCATGTGAGCCGCGATTTATGCAAGAGCCTAGCCCACACGCTGTCGAACTGACGGTTATGCAAATTCATAAGCCTAACCGTCAATAGCATCCAAGTGGATCGACTGACAATACCGGTGGGCCGCAGCCATCGTAAGAGCCTAGGTGAATCACATCTCGCATGTCCTTCAAGGGAATTGGCATCAAGTCCAAGTGAGCCATGGTGATCGCAACTATTGCAGAAGCCTTCATGGCTCGCTGTCTAACACGCGGAGGTATAAACCGTGAACATAAGGGGAAGGCTAGTTTTGCTGGGGTTACTTCTAAGGTGCATTGGTGTATTCTTGTCCATTTAGCTACACCCGGGCTTTTGAGTAACATGGGTTTTTTTAGCTCCAGGAATCCTGAGAGTGAAAAAAACTCGAGTGATCCATTTCTAATATTTAATTTTACAATTAGCCGCCACTTCCTTGCTCAAACGACTGAGCAGTGTTCCTCAGCCGGACTTCCCCTTTTAGCCCGCTGTCATTTCAATCTATGCCTCCCATCATGGCTCATATGTCACCTCCTTACCGTCTGCTTTCTGTGCTCAAGTGTTTACATATTGTAATCTTTAGTTCAGCTTGAAACCATGCTTCACATCGCCCCACAAACCCACCCTCTGTGCGTTATTTCTCATCTTGGTCATTCGTTCGCCTCCTCTGCGCCACTGTGCCCCGTCCCTCCTCTCCTCCCCCATACGTCATCCAGTAACCGCATTTTACGTCTCATTATCGAGCCCCAATCCACCTTCCTCGTGACATTTGAGTTGACTCAAACGCCACTGTGCCCGTCCCTTCTCTCCTCCTCCCTACGTCATCCAGTTACCCGCATTCCACTTTCTGCGTCAATCCAAACCCATCCATGAGTCGCCACTTCGTGAGATCATTGGTTGCTTCACGCGCGCTGGTCGCTGTGATTCATGGGCACCATAGTGTAAACGATACACCAGGTGTTGCTCGTCTCAAGGCTCAATTGCCTTGCGTGATCTCACTGGCCGAGTTATCCAATTTATGCACCCCATCTGCAGGCTTCAAGATGCTCAAACTCCGCCATGCCCCACAAACATGAGCTATAAAAAACGAGGTCTCCTCTCTTTGCCTCCATGTCACCTTCGCTTCTGCCGGTTGCTTCCCATCCGCAGGCGCCTCTGTTCGTGGCCACCAAGATGTCCAAGGTCCGCTGTTCCTCGCAAACATTGTTCCAAGACTGACCGGTTTTTTCCCCTCTGCCTTTTCCGGATGATTCCTACCTGCAGGCCCCTCTGTTGGCCATTAAGATGTCCAAGATCCGTCATGCCTCACAACAGTCGGAAACTGTCTGTTCTCCTCCCTATTCATTCTTTTTTATGTCCACTTCTGCCTGATGCTCCCCATGTGCAGGCGCCTCTGTTCGTGGCGACCAAGATGTCCAAGATCCGCCACGCGTCGCTCACCTGCCCATCCCCTGATCTGTACGCAAAGCACGGGGCCAACTGGGTGGGGCAGGAGGTGCGGGTCACGCCATACTGGGCACACGGGGTCATGTGGGGGATCATCTACCGCTTCCCCGAGGGGCTGTTCAATATTATTCGGTTGGGCCAGAACGTGGACATTCGCGAGCGCGCCCTCGCGAAGATTGCTCGCCAGCAGAAGCAGCAGTAGGGGGGAGATGCAGCATGCTTGCTGATGTTGGTGGCATGTTGGATACTGAATTTTGGAACTTACGTCATGGGATGCTGATAATGGATCTAGGTATGTCATGAAGGGCATAGGTGGTTGAGATTGCGGTTTACATTTTTAGGAGAGTAGTGATTGTGGTACTAACTATTTTGTAAGCAGCTGTACAAGCAGCAGCAATACCGGCGTTAGTAGTGGCAACAGTTGTTGGATCCACGAACTCCATTAAACCTGGTTCTCAATTTATATGCTCAGCATGCAAGAGGAATGGTAGCCAGTAGCCTATGTGAACATGCATTAGATACCCCTTGTTTTGTTTCACAATTTAAATTTGCAGTGAGAGTATACATACCGTATTCTCCCGGACATAACACACTGTTAGAATCTGGCAGCAGGAATGATGAACTAACAGCATGCAGGAGTACAAGTAGTAAACCCTAATTTGGGTTGTACCCCATACGGGCTACCCCACTACAGCCTAGACAATATGCAGCATATATGTTTGACACACCCCCATAGGCAAAGTGGGGGAGAACAAGGGGTCACACGACCAGTCAAGAGACGCAAAGCAAGCTCAGGGTGGATCTCAACGTCACCACACATTCTGAGCACAAGCAAAGGGCCGCAAGGCCAGTCCACATGCAGAGATATATACAGGCAACAAGAGCAGTACAGTGATCAATACCTAGCAAGAGCAAGCATGCAGGTATAAATATAGAGCACAGTACACACTAAGGCCTACAGCAAGTGTGGAAACGTAGGCACAAGGCCTAACAAAGTACAAAAGCGCTGATGATCACCAGACGGAAGTGCCTTGGTGAATATATCAGCAGTGTTGGCCCGAGTGGCCACGTGTGCAAGACGAAGCTGACCACGCTGCTGCAACTCTCGAGCCAGAAAGTACCGCAGAGCGATGTGCTTCGTTCTGTGCTCCAGTCTGTGGTCCTCACACAAGGCAATGGCAGCCTTGTTGTCGACGTACAGCACTGGAGGAGAACGAGGCCGCTCTCCCAGGTCGGTCAGCAGGTAGGTGAGCCAGCGTAACTCCTGTGCAGCCATGGCAGTGGCGTAGATCTCAGCCTCACAACTGGAGCTGAGAACAGAAGACGAGCGAGTAGAACGCCAAGAAACAGAACCAGAGCCAAGGCTGAAAGTGTAACCCTGTGACGACCGCTGCGTAGCCTGGTCGTCAACCCAAGAAGCGTCTGAGTGCCCAGTGAGGACCACCTCTCGCCGTCCTCCAAGCACGAGCCCCATGCCCGACGTACTGCACAAGTAGCGCAGTACCCTCTTCGCAGCATCCCAGTGCACCTTTCGGTGCCGACCAGGAGCCACGTAGCGAGCCAGAAGGCCAAGAGGGTACGCAAGGTCAGGACGAGTGCAAGTCATCAGGTACATGAGGCAGCCCACTAGCTCTGGGTAAGGACCACTCGGCTCTACGGACTCATCCGAAGGCAGAGCTGAGAGCGAGTGACCTATAGCCAGAGGAGTGGCCTGTGCTGAGGACCAGGTGAAGCCGAAGCGCTGAAGGACCTGCTGCACCATGTGTGACTGAGTCAGTGTGATGGTGCGGCGTGCTCGGTCCCGGGTGATCTGCAAGCCAAGGTAGCTGCGCAGCTCACCCAGGTCTGTGCACGTGTGTCTCTTCTGCAGCTCGGACTTCACCAGGGCGAGGGCCTCAGTGTCAGCAGTAGCAAAGACCAAGTCGTCGACGTACACGAGGATATAGAACGGCGGCAGCGAAGTGTCGGTGCGTAGAAACAGTGAAGGGTCAGCAGTCGAAGGCGCAAACCCAAGAGCCGCAAGGGTAGTCCTCAGTGTGTCGTGCCACTCACGGGGTGCCTGGCGGAGACCGTAGACCGGCCGGCGGAGGCTCCACTGGGTACCAGGAGGGAACGTCCCAGTGAAGCCAGGTGGGCGGCGCAGCCAGATCTCCTCGTGCAGGCTGCCCTGTAGGAAAGCTGTGCTGAAGTCAAGGGAGTGAAGCTCGTAGTCACGCTGAGCGGCAACGTGCAGCAGCACCCGAAGAGTAGTCATCTTCGGGGTAGGGGAGAAGGTCTGGAAGAAGTCAACTCCCTCTCGCTGACTGAAGCCTCGAGCAACGTAACGCGCCTTGAAGACAGGCGGAGAACCTGGCGGCCGCTTCACCCTGAAAATCCACATGCCATCGACGATGTTCGCCCCGGGAGGGGGAACCTCATCGACGTAAGTGCCTGTGGACTTCCAGGATGCCATCTCTGCGTCCATGGCTGCCTGCCACTGAGAGGAGTAGGGACCCGCGATCGCCTCAGCGTAAGAGCGCGGTGTGGGGATGTCTATAGCATCCGGGTCTCCTCAGGGGCAAGCAGCATGGCCACAAGATGAGGCGCAGCGGCTGCAAGAGACTCAAGGTCCTCGTGCCTGTCCTCAAGGACGTCCGTGCCAAGGGCACACTCACCCCCGACGGACGGAGGACAGACAGACTCAGACTCAGCAACAAGACTAGCAGCGTAGTCTAGACGACAGGCAGCAGCAAAGTCAACAAGCTCAGCGACCAGGGCAGACACAGCAGCAGACTCAAACGACGGGTCAGTGACAACAGTGGCTAGCAGACGCGTGACAGTAGGGTGCTCAGCACGAAACCGGTCAGACTCAGGGTCCGCGACGTCAGGCAAAGAGGACGCAGGGGGAGACGGAAGAGGAGTACGCTCCGGAGTAGGGGACCGACGCAGGGCTACAAGGCGTGTGCCGGGGACAGCCGGCTGACGCGGACGAGGAACACGACGACCGGTACGACTAGGACGAACAGGCGAGACAGGACGCGACGCAGGCTCACGACGCTCAGCAAGACTACCTGTCTGCTCAGTGTAAGGAGAAGGAGCAGGCAGCGGAGAGCCAGGCTGTAACGGAAGACCAGTAGACGACGGGAGAGTAAGAACCTGACGAAGAACAGAGTCAGGCGGCGGCAGAGACGACCTAGACGGCGGAGCGAAGAACAGTCGTGTCGGTGCAGCTGCACCAGTACCGACAGCGCCAGCAGCTCCAGTACCTCCAGCAGCTCCAGCACCTCCAGCAGCTCCAGAAGCTCCAGCCCCAGAACCGACACCTCCAGGCCCAGGGTCTCCAACCCCAGTGCCTCCAGCAGCAGCACCCCCAGAACCAGCACCTCCAGTCCCAGGGTCTCCAGCCTTAGTGTCTCCAGCAGCAGCACCTCCAGACGCAGCACCCCCAGCCCCAGCAGCTCCAGTACCTCCAGTACGAGCACCTCCGGGACCAGCGACTCCAGCACCTCCAGTAGACAAAGTACCAGCACCACTCCTAGCTCCAGGGACGTCAGCAGAAGTACCTCCAGCAGTAGAGCCCCGGGCTCCAGCAGCGCGACCCTGACGGCGACCGTACCAGTCGTGCAGCTGCTGCGAGGTGAGAGGCACACGTGGACGAAGGCGGCTACTCCAAGGAGACCGCGCAACAGCAGACTCTGAACCCTCAGCGCCAGCACCCTCAGCAGCTCCAGCGCCACCAGCACCCTCAGCAGCTCCAGAACCTCCAGCGCTCGCACCCTCAGCAGCCCCAGAACCACCAGCTCCAGCGCCACCAGCACCAGGACCTCTAGCAGCTCCAGAACCTCCAGTACGAGCACCCTCAGCAGCCCCAGAACCACCAGCTCCAGCACCTCCAGACCCCTCACACGCAGGCTCAGCACCTCCAGGCTCCACACTCTCAAGCTCCGCACCCCCAGGCTCAGCACCCCCAGAAGTAGCACCCCGAGCAGGACCACCCCCAGTAGGACCTGAGTCACCAGTGACCTCGACCGGCGCAGGGAAGGGAGGAGGGTCTACCTGAGACACACCTGAAGGAGCAGGACCGGGAGCGGGGAGGGGGTCTACCTGGGGAGCACCTGGAGCGAGGAAGAGCGGCGGGGGAGGGAGAGGGGCAGTGCGGTAGGGGAAGAGACGGTAAAAGGGAACCGACTCATCGAACGTGACGTCCTGAGATGCAAAGACACGGCGCGAGGTGGGATGGTAAAACTGCCAACCAGGCGCGTCAGGGACAAAGCCAAGGAAGACACAGGGAACAGCACGGGCGGAGAGCTTGTCCGCGGTGGTATCGCGGACAAAGGCACGAGCACCCCAGACCCGGAAACGCGACGCATCGCCAACCTTCCCCGTCCACAGCAGCGTGGGCGAGGTTTCCGGCAAGGAGACACGGGGCCAGAGGTTGAGCTGATGCGCGGCGTACCGGACCGCAAACGGCCACAGAAAATGGGGGGCAGCCGCATGGATCATGGAGGTACGAGCGACCTCCATGACTAAGCCGATGCGGCGCTCAGCAACCCCATTCTGCTGCGGAGAGGCCGGAAGCGTGAACGACTGGGTGATGCCGTGCTCCGCACAGAAGGCTGCCAAGAGGTCTGAGGAGAACTCACCACCTCTATCAGAGTGCAGACGCAGGACGGGAAACTCCGTCCCGAACCGCTCGCGGAGCTGGAGACGGGCAGCGCGGATCCAAGGGATCAAAACAGCAGGGACCTCCCCCTTGCTGCGCAGGGGAAAGACCGTGGTGTAACGCGTGTAGTCGTCAACAACCAGCAGGAAGTACCGCTCGTGGCCCTGTCCACGGACGCGGGCTGGGCCCCACACGTCCAGGTGGAGAGTCTGCAGGGGAGCCTCTGTGGGAGGGAACGAGGAGGAGTGAGGAGCGGCGCGCTGCCGCCCCTCGACGCAAGGAATGCAGGGCGGCGCAAGCGAGGGAGGCAGGGCAGGCAAAGACCTGGGCAGACCAGAAACCAGGAAGCGAGAGTGCATGCCACGAAGGCGCTGCACCGAGGGGTGACCAAGGCGGTGGTGCCACAGGAGGGTCTGGTGCGACAAAGCGCGACACTCGCAGGGGGCCGTCGGCTGACCTGACGCAGACGCAGACGCAACTACCTGAGGGGACTCAGTGGTCAGGGTGTACAGACTCGAGCCAGGCGCACGGGAAAACGTGGCCAGGTGTCGGCCGGTCCGAGCACACGTACAGTGAGTCACCCGCTGACTCGCAGGAGTGAACTGGTGCACCCCCCTATCCTGGAGGTCAGCTCCACTCACCAAGTTCGTAGAGAACGAGGGGAGGTAAAGACCTGACAGCAAGCCAGACGGGGCGGCCGGACACGGCAGAACCGTGGAGTAGTGGGCAAGGACTGGACCCTCGGAGGGGTCCGCCAGGGAGACTGGAACCGGCCGACTAAGCGGCGTGAGTGTGGTACAGTCGCGAAAGAAGGAGCGGGAAGCACCTGAGTCAAGCGTGAAGGTGTACAAGGCCGCAGCAGGCGCAGAACCAGAGAGAGCAGACTCACCAGCACCTGGAGCAGGAGACGTACCGGCACCTAGAGCAGCAGCCTCACCAGCACCCAGAGGAGGAGACGCACGAGCACCTAGGGCAGCAGCCTCACCAGTACCGGGAGCAGCAGGTGCTATACCAGGGTCAGGCGGGACGCACAGGTAACAGGCACGGTCAACACTAGTAGGCAATGCATACATGGCAGTGAGAATAGCATCATAGTCAGGAGCAAAGATATCTACCCTCCGTCCAAGCAGCTCCAGCCAGTCGGGGAGCTCAGCCTCGTCGCCAAACACTGTACGCCAGTCGTCGCTCAGACGGGCGAAGCAGCGGGACTGTGTATGACCAAGCGTCCCGCAAGGCTGACCAACCCGATCACCTGTGCGAATGACGTACTGGCAGCGAACTGTACGCGTAGACCTGCTACACTGAGCGTACCACTCGTGGAGCTGCCGGGACGTAAGTGTCTCGCGAGGACGCCGCTGCAGCTGCAGCTGGCCACTGCCAGACGCTCCCAACTGACCAGCTCCAGGGGGACAGCTACGACTGCTACCGCGACAACCCCAGCTAGTATACCACTCACTAAGCTGCTGGGGCGTGAGAGACTCACGTGAACGTCGCTGGAGCTGCATCTGGCCACCGGCCAGTAGCAGTAGCAGCAGCAGTAGCGCGGGCAGGGCAGGCGCGGCAGGCCGACAGGCAGGCAGGCCGGCAGGCAGACAGACAGACAGGCAGGCAGGCAGGCAGGCAGGCAGGCGGGCAGGCAGGCAGGCCGGCAGGCAGGCAAGCAGACAGGCAGGCCGGCAGGCAGGCAGGCAGGCAGGCAGGCAGGCAGGCAGGCAGGCAGGCAGGCAGACAGGCAGGCCGGCAGGCAGGCAGGCAGGCGCTCACCAAAGGCTGGAAGAGCAGGCGCTCGCCGGGCGAGCAGGGCCGGCGCTCAACGGGCGGCGGCCGAGTAGGCGCACGACAGCGGCGACGTCGGGGCCGCAACACCCGGTGCAGAGTAGGGCCGAAGCAGCTGCAGGGCGGGGCCGCTTCAGCGGCAGGTCGGGGCCGTGGCAGCTGCAGGGCGGGGCCGTATCAGCGGCAGGTCGGGGCCGAGGCAGAGGGACGCGCGCGGCTCGGCGCGGGCTGCGCTGACAGCGCGCTGGGCTGCTGCAGGCCGCGCGCGGCCGCGTTAGGCAGTAGCGAGGCGCGCGCGGCTCGGCGCGGGCTGCTGCGGGCCGCGCGCGGGCTGCTGCGGGCCGCGCGCGGGCCTCGCGAGGCCGTAGCAGGCCGCGCGCGGCTCGACGCGGGCTGCGTGGGCTCGGCGCGGGCTGCGCGCGGCAGCAGCGGGCTGCGCGCGGCTCGGTGCGGGCTGTGCGCTGCTGCAGCGGGCTGCGCGCGGCTGCAGCGGGCTGCGCGCGGCTCTGTGCGGGCGGCGCGCTGCTGCAGCGGGCTGCGCGCGGCTCGGTGCGGGCTGCGCGCGGCTGCAGCGGGCTGCGCGCGGCTCTGTGCGGGCTGCGCGGGCTCGGTGCGGGCAGCGCGCGGCAGCAGCGGGCTGCGCGCGGCTCGGTGCGGGCTGCGCAGGCCTGAAGGGCGTGTAGGGGCGGCGCGCGGGCCTTACGGGCCTCTAGGGGCAGCGCGCTGGCCTAGGGCAGCAGGAGGCAGCGCTAGGGCTGCTGGACGGCTCGCGTAGTGCAGCACGTCACAAGGCAAGGCAAGGCAGGCAGGTACGTGGGGTAGCGCGGTAACCGCAGCGGTAGGTGGGCCCGAAAAAAAAACGGTCCTACGGACCTTAGTGCTCTGAAACCATGTTAGAATCTGGCAGCAGGAATGATGAACTAACAGCATGCAGGAGTACAAGTAGTAAACCCTAATTTGGGTTGTACCCTATACGGGCTACCCCACTACAGCCTAGACAATATGCAGCATACATGTTTGACACACACTACCCTAGGGTATATGTAAAAATACAGGGAAAAAAAGGGGGGTGTCTTCTCATAGGAAATACATACCGTATCGCCCCGGATATAGGCGCCGTCCGATTAAGGGCGCCGGCGCCTCTATCTGGAGCATGGCGCCTATGGCCGGAACTCGATAATAAGCGCACCCCCTGAGATTTCTATCCTTATTATAAGAGCATCCCCTTAACCTTACATGGGAGGCATTACAATGGATTTCACTAAACTGCCTCTTTTTCATAGCAACTACAACATGTTGTTGCTAACCTACACCTAGTCTAGTCAGGGTACTTCTAACTACCATGCATCAGCCAATACCCCTCCTATTCATCCTCCTCGTCAGATTCGGGCTCCTGGCAGTTGTTGCCAAAAAAACCATCAGCGATGATGTCATCGTCGACATCCACCTCCGCTGTCAGCTGGGTCCGCCTGTGCGCCATGGCGAGGTTGTCCTCGCTGCCGTCGAGCGCGTTGCTGATGCCACAGGTGAGGAAGGCGCGCGTGATGAGGTCGGACGGCACTGCCCGCCAGGCCTGAGATATCCACCGCAGGACGACCTCAGGTGGAGGCTTCTTCAGGTTCCCTGAGACAGCAGTAACCGGAAAACAAGGAAGCCGTTAGTGCATAAAAACAATTCGGGGAGGGGAGGGGGTAGAACAAATCCGTGCACATGTCATACCTGCCGCGGTCAGCTGCGCTAGCCCCTCTGCCTCGAACCACCTCTGGTACTGCTGGCGGACCGACGCCTTGAAACTTTTGTTGATGGAGACATCGAGCGGCTGTACCTCCGCCGTACAGCCCGACGGGATGACCGCCGGCACGCAGTTCATCTCGCGGAGCTTCTCCTTGACCTCCTCGGTGAGGTGACCGCGGTAAGAGTCCAGCACCAGCATCGAGCTCTTGGCGTGTCTGCCGAACCGAGGCTTCAAGAAAGGTTTGACGCCCTCCTCAAGCCAGCGCACGACGCCCGCGGAGTCCATCCACCCGTTCTCGTGGCAAGCCACCACCACATCTGCACGAAACGCCGAGCTTGTGGTTAGAACACGCACTCAGAACAGAACGCAAATGACCAGGAGTGCACGCCTGTACGTACCGGCAGGAAAATCGCCCTTCGGCAATGTTTTGCGCTTGAAGAACACCCACGGCTTGAGCTTCCTTCCGTCCGCCGTGCACGCCAGCATCACGGTCACTCGCTGCTTCTGATACCCCGCGCTCCTGATAGGCACCGAGCGAGCACCCGTTTCCTCGACGGTGGTGGTGGCGGGCATCTCCAGCCATAGCGGCGTCTGATCCGCGTTGATGATCCACGCGGTGTCGATGCCGCGCTCGCGACGCTTGTCACGCACGAACTGCCAGAACATGCGGCAGAGCTCAGCGACACCTGCACGGCGGGAAAAGAGAGGACGGACTCAGACGGATGGTGTTAGTACACATGCTCAAAACCCACGTGGCAAATAAACCAGGGTTTTTCTTACGCGCGGCGGTTTTCTGGGCAACCCGGGTCTTCATGCGGACGCTCAGATTCCAACGACGCCGAAAGCGCGCCGACCACCTCTGGCTTCCTTTCCACTTCTTGTCCGGGTACAGCAGCCTCATGAACTCCCGCGACCACTCCTGCAGGCGGCCGACTGACACGGCAGAACCCTTGCGGCGCCACTCGAGCAGCTTCTCGTACACCTTCAACTCCATCGGCCGGTACCACGACGACCGCCCGCGGCCGTGCATGCGCTTCCGGGCGGAGTGGACTTCCTTGAGGAAATCCGCCGCTTTCTTCCAGTTGGCGAGGCACTTGCGGTGGATTCCGCTCTCGCGAGCCAAGGCGCGCACCGACACCGACCCATCGAGGCGACTTGCCCACTTCAACTTCTCCGCGGCGGTGTAACCTTGCCGCTTGTGCTCGGTGAGCTTGTGCCTGGGAGAGGGGGGGCGGGCATCACGGTTCTCAGAAGAGGGGTGGGGTCGCTTGCGATTAGTCGGAGGATACGTTGGTATGGGCAGTTTCTCAGGTAGCCCGTCGCGTGACCAGTACTCAACGCCGTCGTCGT